GGGCGCCCTCCTATGGACAGTGGCCCTGGCCGGTGATCAACGCAATTGTGCCATGGGGAAGCACGCCGCCAGTAGCCGGACCGCAAATGAGTATGCCACCACCCATCTACCCCGCGGCCCAGGCCCAACCTGTGGCCCCGCCACCGTCACCTAATCCCAGTTCACGGGGCAGTGTTGTAGGAGGTGCGAACTAGGGGCAGGGCAATGAAGGCAGCGGAGGGAGGGGTGAAGAAAAGGGGCGAGGCAGGAATGACGGCGGAAGAGGAAGGCAATGGAATGGCCAAGGCCGGGGGTACCAAGGCCAAGCGAGTCAAGGCCAGGGGTACCAAGGCCAAGGGAGTCAAGGCCAAGGGTACCAAGGCCAGGGCTATCAAGGCAAGGGGTATCAAGGCCGGGGGGATCAGGGAAGTCAGGGGTATGGAAGACCCCGCTTTGACTGGAGGACGGCCATCTGTCAACATTGTGACCAGCAAGGCCACACTATAAGGTTCTGTAATATAAGAGAGGAAGACGAGAGAAGCGGACTGATTTCCTCTACTATGGATGGGAATATCTACGATCAGTTTGGAGAGGCCATTGACAGAACGCTTGGAGGAGTGAGGGCTGAAGCCCAACGAAGAGCGGCAGCTGGGCCGCCACCCCCTGCCATGTTCAGGCTTTGGCAGGAAAAGGAGGAACCAGCGTTTGGGGTGGAAGAAGTGGGAAGCGATGAGGAAGTGACTCAAGGGCTACGAGGAGGAAGTGAGACGGAAGAGGCCATAATCATCGAGTCAGATGACGAGGATGAGGAGGAAAGAACAAAGCCTTCGTCCGTCTTATTTGAGAAGATGGAGGACTTAATGGATAAGATGGGGAGGTACCAACAGAAGTTGGTGGGCCTCTGTGAAGAAGTGAAGGGATGGAGGTCTAACATCCCCACAGTATTCCTCTATGACTCCGTCCCGGAGTCAGCGCCTGGGTGACCCGGAGTAAATGTGGTGGGGTCGTGCCCACAATCAGGAATGAGGGGGAGACCCCTCACTCCGCAGGCCCGGCTGGCACAAGCAGCGCGAACGAGGAATCAAGCCAAGGCCAGTACCAGCCAAGAGCCTCCAAGGAGGGAACACGAACCAGGGAAAAGGAAAGAGGCTGTGGAAGTAGAGGACGACGATGATGAAGAGGAAGAGGACGAGAGGCTGCGCAGAGAAGAGGATCAGAGAGCGGAGCAGCGGGCAAGGAAAAAGGGAAGCAGGGGAGAGGCCGAACCGGTCATACATGACGGACCGCCCAAAAAGAAGAAATACGTGGACCGGTTGGAAGAGAGATTTGACGTAGAGAAGGTGATTGACTGGCTGCTGGAAGGGCATAATGACCTCATGACCCTGAAGGAAATCCTAGCGTCAGCCCCGCGACTTCGCGATGAACTGAAGGGGAGGTTATCACGGCGCCTGGTGCCCAATGTCCATCTGGGTACGATCCTGCCCAAGGAGGCAGAGTGGGCAGAGTCAAGTACGAAGATGGACTGGAAGTGCGTAGCCTGCGGTACGGTGGATTTGATGGTGAAGGGTTCCAAGTGCGCAGCAACGGTGGACACCGGGGCAGAGATGAACATTATTCGGGAGGCGGACGCGATCAGATTCGGGCTGGATATAGACCGTTCTGACTGCGGTACTCTGCATGGAGCCAGCTGTAAGGCCATGTTTTGCGGGACAGCCTCGAATGTGCTCGTCGAGGTTAGAAAGGTGAAAACCAGGGCATGCTTCTTCATAATGCCAGACGTGGACCATGGAATCCTCCTGGGGAGGTCATTCCTAAGCAGGACAGAGACCGTGATGTTCAACAAACATGATGGGACGTTGATCCTCCTCTTATGCGATCCTGCCTGCGGGAATTATGAAATAATTACTTGCAGGAACACCGGGCCAAGGAGTATAAGGAACCGGCCCAATCCAGGATCATTCACAATCGAGGAGTCGGAAGGGG